AGCTCTTTTTCCCCAAACAAACATTTCCTGCCCCACCTCCTGGATAGAACTAGAAAGGTGGTGATTACTCTAATGACTTTTCAATGGTGTAAACAGTATGCCTGACTTCACCAGTTGAGGTTAATTAAAAAAACTTTTTTCCCAGTTAATCACTCAAGCCCTCACATTCCAATATGACCAGACGTACATATCTACCTCTCCACCCTTTTTGTCCCCAAGAACACTGGGGACTTATTCTGTCCAAAAGGGATTAGTGGAGAGAGGGAGCCAAAATATTGGTATAGTTCATGATTACGGTACTTTGGATCTGGCCCTCATGGTGCCATGGGCAAAAACTTTTCCTATCACATCCTCTCATCAGTTTTCCAGGTTTCTGCACATGACTCACATTGCTTCACCTAGGATCCAAGATTATAATGCTCTCGTTTCACATGTGTATGTCCAGCCATATGTCCAGTGGTTGAGCCCTAGGGGATTTCAACTTTAGCAACACACTAGTCTACAATCAATTCTTCTCCATGATTGTTAGGCCTGGGCCACAGCCCATACTTGCTCTTGCCTCAACATTAATTCTGTTTTTGGGTTTTTGGTGTTTGTTTTTTGGTCATCAGATCTTGGTCAGGGCATTAAAAATCCATCATGACAAATTTGTAAATTCACTCCTAGAAATCTGCTGAATTTCTTACATAAATTGATTTACTTCTGCCCCAGAGACATACTATCATTCATTCATCCATTTACTTAAGAAATATTTATTGAATGCCTACTATATTCCAGGCATTTCAATAAGCACTGCGTAAATATTAACAAATAAAATAGGCAGGGTCCCTGACATCACAGATCATATAATCCGGTGAGAAGATAAAAAGTAAGCAATAAATACATATAAATATATATGAAAAATTATGATTAGTGCTATGAACAAAATGAAGGCAAAGTGGAGAGTGCTTAGTACAGTCAGAGAAGAAATCTCATAGGAGGTGGTATTTAAACCTCCAGCCTAAGGATGAAAAAGCCCACCTTGAGAGCTGAGGGGTGAGTGTTCTGGACAGAAGAGTCTTACTACGATGCAAAAGTATTTGAAGTACAGGTCGTCCTTCCTTTGCAGGGTCCCCATATACAGGAATTGCAATTACCACAATTTAGTTAAATCAGTCCAGTATTCCAAGTACAATGTTGAAATTTCAGTTGCCATGGTATATTAATCATGAGTGGCTGCAGAAAGTAAAAACTTTACTGCTAGCTCTTCTGTCCACAAATCACTATGTAAGTAACAGAGGCTCACCATGATCAGTGACCAATCACATTCCTTCTTTCAAAGTCTGTCGTTTATTGCTCACTGGGCATATGTTATTCAGTTCACATACAGACAGCAAAAAGTATATAGTTGTGCTGCCTTCTTGTCTCCCAATGATAAACCCATGTGACATTTTATAAAAATGGATGACTGAAAAGAGGGAATTGTCTGACGGAGATGAAAGTGCAGCAGAGAAATAAAAAAAATGACACTAGCAGTTAAATTTCAATCAAATGTTAATGTACTTATGAAAGAAATAGCTGACTGTGGGGTTGTTGACTGCTGTTTGGGAGGCTCTAGATAGGCAGCCAGAGGAACTTAGTGAAGACAAACTTATCGACATAAGGAAAGTGGTTGTGACAAGAAGTATGAAGATGTTCCAGAGGAAGAGACACCTGCAAAACACTTCACATTAAAAGACTTCTCAGAGATATTTCAAAATATTGAAAGGGCCAAGGATAAAACGTTGGAAGTTGATCCAAACTTCCAAAAGAATATGACAATTCGCCAAACATAGAAAAGATGCTTGCTTTGCATCATAAATTATATGATAAAAAGATGGCATGCGCTGTTCAAATGACTTTTTTTTAAGATTTTTATTGGGGAATTGGGGAATGGGAACAGTGCTGGGGAATTGGGGGAAGGGGAACAGACAAGTTGCTGTCGTTTTGTTCTTTAGTCTAGTTGTGGAGGACGTTGCTTCACTGGCCCAAGTTGGCACCATCATTGTGCTCTGCTAACATTTATTGGAGGTGTAATCCCCAGACAACAAGAATGAGGGCGCCATTATCAGTGGATGCCACGTGGAGACTGAAGTCAGGAAGAGGTATTCTCCTGATTGTTTGTGGTCTAAGAAAAAAGAATTTGAAATAAAGTTTCTGTCACTATATACATTTGAAAATGAAAAGGTCTGGACAAAAAGGAAAGATTCAAACAGGATGTTTGTGTTTTCTTTCTACCTTTATACTCAGATCTGTCAGTGCAGAAATAAACGGAGCAGTATCTCTTCATGTGATCTCAACAGGAGGTGGGGTTAGGGTTTGAACCCTAAACCGAGCCCTAACCCCACCTCCAACTTAGAAACTTCTTGAAGTGTGTAGGGACAAATTTGAGAAAAACCCAATCTATCTTCTGTTTGGATAATAAGGTCTGGAAGTTGGAGCTTTTTTGAAGTAGCTAAAGGTGTTGTTCGTCCTCTTTCACCATTATTTTCTATTTCCTTCCATGGAAAAGGGAGAGAAAAGTTCAGTTTCCTGCAAAATTTTCATTTCTAATTGTTTTTCTCTGTGATTCAACAACAACACAATTCTAAGATCTATGATATTTTTTAAATGAAACTTGTAGCCCCGTGAGCATTTAGAAGGGAGTGGATACCACGAAATCCTGCAGGGGCTGAGACTCAGGGAGGGGATTGAATCCCTTAATTGGAGCCGTCTGGAGACTCAGCTTTCCTGGGCTCCAAAACAACCAGGAGTCTGAGCTGGAACTCTAGGCAAAAAAATAAGGCCTCAAAATTAGCCCATGGCTTGTGTTTCCTGTATGTTGATGGATGTGAGCTCAACACCTATAGGGATGTTTCCAAAATTCCTTGAATCCTGGGGAGCAGGATTATCCAGTGAAGTTTCTCCCCCCTCCCTTTTAAAATAATATTGAAGGAAATGTTAAGCCAAGGAATATTAATGTATTATTGTAAGACATAAAGTCAGGAAAGTTTATCTTCTGTGACTTTGTGCTGCTTGGACTTTATTCCAGAAAAAAAAATTTTCCGAACTGCCCTAAGTGTGAATGGGGAAAGATAGAAGCTACCATGACTCCATCCCAGGCCAGACATGTTAAACCCGTTTACAGCTCCCCAGAAAAAAAAATCCAGTTGACTCTGAAAAATGCATGAATATCAGTCAAATGGTTACTTCTCAACAATATCACTACTTGTATATTTTAAGTATTGCTTAATATTATGACTAGTTAATATTATCAGAACCAAACATATAATGAAAATACATATGTAAAAACAAATTTCCTGCCTGAACGCCATGTCTCTAAAGTTATCAAGTTGCTCACTGCTACTATCCAGATTTTGGACACCGTTTTGTAACCTTTTTACTAGGGTTCCAGTAAAACGAAGAAAATGGTCTAGTCTAGAAAGTTCTTTAGCCAGCAAAATATTTTTTTTTTAGCTGAGCCATCCTGCTACCTGTTGGCAGCTCAGCGGCTGCTCAGCTCGGGCTGGACTCGAACTGCTGTTGCTCAGAGCTCAAA